GAAATTGATTTTCAAAGCTGTTTGCAGATCCACGCCACGCCGTCCAGGGTTGCCAGAAGGCGAGGGAATTGCTGGTGGTGGGCTGGGGGCGGGTTCGTGTTGGGTGGTGTTGATGTTGTCTGTCCCGGGTTTGGTTCGCCGGGTCGGGGGGTATTTGTTGCACTGGAGGTTGTATCGGTGGAACCGGCGCTGGAAGAATTGCTCGAAAAGCTGCTGGAGGGTTCCGCGGGTGTGCTGTGGCCGAAAAAACGGTTGCTGCCGCTGGCCTGGTGGGGTTTGGTGCTGGTTGGGTCTGGTGGTTGGCTGTGGCTAGCGGTGGGGGCGGCGTTGCAGTCGTTGTTCCGATGTGTGAGTGCCCTCCATTGCTGAGCCAGGGTGGCAGCTGTCGATGCTAACGTTTCTCCCAAAAAGGTGGCAGTGGCTGGAATGTAGCCGCTGGGTTGCTGGAACCAAGTCACGGCCCATGGCAGATGCACTAAAGTGCCGGGGGGTTGGCAAGCCCCTGCCTCGTGGAGCCTGTGCAGCAATGCTGCTTCGCTTTGTGTCAAAGCCTGCCCGGTGTGTGAAGCTAGCTGTTGCAGCGTGGCCAACACGTGGTGCAGTTGTTGCCAAGGGACGGGGCGTGCTTGCCGAAGGTGCTCTACCAATCGTCGCCATGGATTGCCAGCTGTGGCGGTTTGTTGCCATGCTTCGAACGCTGGCGGCTCGAGGCGGTTGGTGGCCGCGAGCAACAGTTGCACGTCGAACCAGCTGAAGGTGTCCGCGTCGGGCCCAGGGCTGGTTGTGTGGGCCACTCGCCCCCGGAGGGGTCGGGTTGGCGCTGGCTGCGAGGGTGTGTAGTGGCTCTGCTGGGCATACGGCATGGGGGTGGCTGCAAGTCCACGCCCTGGTGCTGCGTTGGATGTCCACCTGCAAGATGCGTGGGCCGCGTTGTGTGCAGCTTGGCTGCTCTGGAATGTTTTGTAAGAGCGGGTGGTCAAGCCGGAGGACAGTGTTACACCGTAGGCACACCCATTCTAGGTCCCAGCGGCCCGTTTGCGGAACGTGGACGGGGGCCCAGGCCATGTTGGTGTCTGTGAGTTCTTGCCAGGCCCGGGGTTCCTCAGGCCGCATTGGGTCTGCCAGAAAGAGTCGTGGGCAACAGTGAGGCGAAATGATGCGAAATGTGTGTTGGTGGTTGTGGTGGTTGCAAGGCTGCGTTCTGAGCATCCACTCGTTCAATGTGGGGCGGGAGTCCACCCCATGGTGCCTGCATTGTGCCAAGAAGAGGAGGTCGGCACACATTTCACTTCCGGCCTGACGTTGCTCCTGTGGAAAGGTCGCCCTTCACAGCACTTGTCAGAACTTGAGTGGAAAGTGAAGGTTTGAGCCAAAATGGCTACGGCATACATACATACATACATACATACAAATAAATATGCATGCATACAATTGCATACATACGTACATGCATTCACACGTACGTACATACATACATACATACGTGCAGACACACACACATAAATACATACAGACATACAGAGACGCACACACTCACACACACACATATATATATATAGGTATGCATATATAAACGTTCAACACCCGTTTTTGTGTGTGCAACAATGAAATGGAGGAAGTCAGCGGGAATGGGGGGAGCAAACCCGTAGACTAGCAGCAAGCCAGCAGCAAAAACCAACCAACAGGAACAAAGCAGCAGGCAACGGCCAAGGAACTGGACAGAACAATTTCGGAGTGTGTCATGGGCCCGTGCTGTGGAACCTGTCTGCAACGCGTGCGGGTCCAGGTGTTTATCCAGGGATATCCGGGGAAGCGACTTGCGAGCCGCAGGAGCCGCAGCAGCAGCAGTAGCAGCAGCAGCAGCAGCAGCCGCCTCAGCAGCAGCCACAGCGGCCACCACGCAGCAAAACAGCAGCCACAGCGGCAGCCACAGCAACAGCCACAGCATCACCTTGAGTTCCATGTAGAAGCAAATGCGCGAGGCAAAATGAGATTGGGCAACGCAATTCAAGGTTTCCAGGAACAACTGCAATCGTCAACGCGTTCCAACCATCAGTCAGCGAGAAGTGAAGTAAGAGCCTTTTATAGTTTGCACCTATTTAAGCCAAAACGCCGATCCAGAGACAGCACGCGCACCTGCACCAGCATCAGCACCGCAGCAGCACCCGCAAAGCCAAAACGCCGACCCACAGCCGCCCTGCAGCTACATGGGCGCTTAATTATTACATTATCTCAAACTCCCAAGTGCTAAAGTCGTTGCAACTGAATGTTTTCCGTTTCGCACTTCTTTTTTTGAGAAGTCATTGCGGAACCGGTGTTCCTTGTTTGGTAATTCTTGTGTCGCGCAATGTCTCGATACGTCTCGCAGACGGCTTACTTTTGTTCTTCTTGCTCTGGATCGGCATTTCGTTTTGCGGGCGCTGCTGCCGTGCAAGTACTGGTGCTGGATAGGCATGTTGTTTTGCCGGTGCTGGTGCTGATGCTGGTCCAGGGGTAACATCGTGTCATGCCCAGAATGACATCATGTCATGAGCGATGACATCCTGTCATGCCAAGGATGACAGCCTATGCCAGTGTAATTTAACAAAGGGTGTATCATGGTATATCCCACCAGCCACTCACAACACGTAATTATGATATAAATCATCATATGACAACTTCATCCTCTTGGTTGGCACCATCATGACAGGCTGAGTTCCACAACATCGAACCGTTGAGGGCGCTAGGATGTGGAGACCCCGGAGACTCAGATCCAACGAGTTTCTAACGAAGTCAAACGAGTGACGCCAACTCCCGCGGCGCGGTGTGGTGATGGGGCACCGGATGAGCACCGGCACCCCCTGAAAGACCGAGCGGGCGGCCGTGAAGCGGACGTAGTGAGTGGAGGCATCGGTTGCTTGGCCAAGCTGGCCAGCCACGTGTGAGAACCGGTGTGAGAGCACTTGTAAAAGGTGGCACCAGAGTCTTCCAAAAAGGACTCCAAGCCTTGGAAAGTCTGACAACAAGAGATGGCCATGAGGGGGGTGATCAGCAAGGGTTCACAGCATGGGCTGGCCGAACCCCTCCGCGTTCTGTGCCCTTGCGCATTCAAGATCATTCAAGAGATTCTGAGCTGGCTGCCATGTGATCGGCTCAGTTGCGCCCAGCAGAATGACCCTCGGGCAGAAACGGGACGCACCTTCCTTCCTTCCTTCCTTCCTTCCTTCCTTCCTTCCTTCCTTCTCACATTGGCAAAAGCGTCTCAGTGTAAGGCTCTCAGGCTACTGCTACCACTTGGGCCACTGCAGCCTACAACAAGCTGCTCATCCAGGCGTCATTCAGAGACATTATGGCGGGCCATGCTGGGCCGGACGTCTTTTTGCTGTGGGGATTGAAAAATGACCGCAAAAGGGAACCTGGACCTGCACCGCAAAGTACCAACGTGATGCAAGTCAGGAAGTGTTGCTCTGCTAAATGAGGAGGCACCCACGAAGACTTACTATCAAGAGTTGCTATATATAATAACTATAGACCCAATGAGTCTGATTGTCACATATGGGTAAGCATGTTTGTGCGTCACCCATCTCCGATTCGAGACCACAAACATGCTGCTCACATGGTGGTCACACCGCACAAGCAAACCAAGTCTCTCCGATCCAAGCAACGCACCAAGAGGATCAAGAATCAAGAGCTTGGACAAAAACCATTGGCCGTGTAGCCTCCATCTGGGCTACAGCACGGAACGCTTCCCATCGCCACGCGATGACACCGAGCGCTTCAACGTCACGACGAGGTCCGTGCCACACGACACCCGATGGCTGGGCGACCGATTCCATCGGGGAAGGGCGGTGGACGGTGGCGGCCGCGTTGGCGAATTCGTTGGGCACGCTGGGCGGATCAGCTAGCCACATGGACGCCGGAGGGAGATTTGACCCCATGGGTCGCTGTGGAAGGCAGAAGGGGAATGTGGACAAATGTCCGCCCATGTTGCCCTGTCGATCCAAAACAGTTCAGCCTAGCAGTTGACTAACTGGTGGGCTGCCATCGCCCCTATACTATAGGGCCTCGAAATGTGGCGACATCGGACGAACCCGTCGCCGTCATCGCCATCGGTGGATCCCCGTCGCGACGTTTCATCGCTCAGATCGTCGAGACGCTCGGTCTCGGCGCCAGTCTCGCGCCGCGTCGCCACGGAGGCCGAAGACGGGCGCGAGGCGGTCGAAACGCGTTCGGTTCCACACAGCGATATGCTCACAGCGACTTCAACGAGAAGGGGGGGGTCGACAACGAGAAACCCAACGGGTATTGAGACAAAGTGCAAAGATCATGTTAAACTTGGGATATTTGATGGTCGTGCTGCTGATATGACGTGCGCGAAGTCAATCCGTCCTTGTCCACTGGTGCAGCGTCTGACCCTTACTGACGCGACAGGTCAATGAGGAGGTCCGTGTCGCAGCAATCGGCAGAAGTTCAACTCCAATTCGCATCGTCACTCGAGATCTCGCGTGCGTTTTTCGTTCGTCTTTGTTTTTCGATGTTGATGGCTCATTGATTTCTGAAGCTGGTTGCAGTGATCAACCATGCTCGCGGTGCTCGTCGTGTGGTTCACATCACTGTTACACTCTGCTGTGCCTTCGTGAGTTGGTGAGTTTGGCCTCACCGGATCACCATCGAATCGGGTCACGTTTGGCTGAAAAAACTCCTTTTGAGGGTCATCTACCCACTGCGGTTTTGTCGTGACTGTCTTCTTTTCAGCGAGTCAAAACGCGCGTTGGGGCCATGCAATGGTATTGTACCGAAAAGCTAAGCTTCTTCCTGAAGAAAAGACCGCCGTCCTTGTTGCCGGGCTGACGAAACGTGAGCAGTGGGGAGTTCGTCGTACTGACGAAGCCCACAGCGGCAGTGCGGGCAAGGCTGTCAAACGAAAGACAGGCTCCAGTCCACGTGTTGGCGTTGTTTATGGTCAAGCACACCCCACGGAACACTCAGCGGTGATCAAATGTGTGATGACTTTTCTCCGCCTGAAGAGCTTGCGGCATCGGCAAAGGCATCGGTGATGGCCGCCTGATATGGCGACGGAAAAGGACGTTTCGTGCAATCCCAGTGGCTGGAAAACGAGAGAGTTGGACCGAGCATCCCTTGTAGGTAAACATCTCGCCGCGTCCCATTCTAAGCAGTGAAGTGAGGTGGTTTACAAGATCTTTCATAATCACCGAATGAGTAAAGACAGTAAAGAGATCTTCCTGCAATGGAATCCCTCGGGCTGTTCCTCTCGCCTTTCTTGTTCCTTTAAGGTAGCAAAACATAAACTGGCACTACCCTCCCTTGCCACACATCCAACCTGCTGAGATACCACCAGCCAATACTGGGCAGCAGCACAGCTGCCAGCACTGCTGATCCGCAGGAGGCTTCCATAACCTGAGGCAAAGGCAGCAAAGGTCAAAAGGAGCAGCTTTATCGAGGGTATGTGACCACTGCCATACAACAAGGTGGGAGAATGGGTTTTTGTGTAAATCTATCTGGTCTAAGCGTCAGTCTTCAGAGAGAGAGAGAGAGAGTTCCCACAAACTCCAACAGCGCATGCAGGGAGCAAAATCAAACACACATAAATTGAAACTAAAAAAGAACTTTGTCAGATCAATAGACCTCTGACAAATTGTACGCAGAATGATGAAAATTCGAAATGTAGACTACACAGATTCCATGTGAGATTCATGCCGGACACTGTCCAGTTCAATCAACACGGGGACACCAGCTGTGCGTTGCTGCGGCTTCGCCTCCGTCGATGGAGCTCTTTTCCTCGAGCTGCGAGCTCGGGCGGCGGCACCTCATGGACAGCACGAGCGTGGACAGCAGAGCTCTTTGTCCGCAAAGAAACACTTGTGGAATGCGCAACCCACCCAAAACCGGACCCGCCTTTTTCTCAGTTCACCTCCATTTTCACATGAAACCAAATCAAAAAACTACAACTACTCACACATGCCAAAGCGCTATGAAATAGATTATATATGATATTATATATATATTAATATATATTATGTATTATATATAATTCAAGAATTCACTTTTCTCAGAGCTCATTCATTTGCTGTGTTCTTTGACGAAAAGCCTGGTTGGTTTTGCAAAACTCGATGGATCGCGATTGCAACGGCCCATCTCTTGAGTCTTGCAACAACTGATTTCTCATTTGATGGTTGACTCTTGTCATGGTTGTCCATCTTGTCATGCCTCATCTTGTATCTGTTTGGGGTTTGTTCATGACCAAGGCTCTGCTGTAGTTCTGATTTCTTCTAATTAGTAAAGGATGCAGCCCTTGCAATCAAGGACATCTTGATGTGGACCTTATCCGGGGACCCTTTTGGAACTAGGAGTTTTGTTTAAAGCAAACAATTTGTTTGGTCAAGATAAAATCAGCTCAAAAGAACGATGTCTGGGCAAGTGGACTCAATTCAAAACCTATTTCATAGGGCGTTTGCATGTGTGATAGTAGTTATAGTATCTGCTTGGCCTTTATCTGAAAATGCATGAGAACTGAGCAACAGGCAGGTCCTTGGTCCATCTCCGGTAGTGGGTGAGATCAGGAGGTTTTTCTAGTCACTAGTCGCCGGTGAAAGGTAGGTGAGGGCATCAGGACTGGTGGGCTAAAAGTGAATAAGCGAGAGGAGGAGGGAGACTGAGATGAGTAGTTATATATGTAAGATGACGATGAAGATTAAAATGAGGAAAAGGATTGATTAGGATGAGCATGAGCATGGATCAGGAAAAAATGGATCAACCTGCAAACACACTGAACCACAAAGGAGTTGATCCAGGGTGGCCTATTGAGCACAATCTCTTCTTGCAGATTTAATCTCAGTAAACGATCCAACATGACACAACCCTATCCACTGAGCACATTGAATACATTTTTGGTACAAAAAAATAGATATTAGATAGCTGTTACGACACCTGTCAGTGTCTGAAGGTCAGTTACTAACCACTCAAGCTCCTGGCTGATCCATCTGGACCCTCCACTCCTCTCCTCCCCCGAATATTTCAGTCAGAGGTGTGTCTACTAAAATGACCTCTCCACTCAACCAACGCCCTCCCCGCCTCCCAGCACTTGCCGCCATCGCGTTTCGCGTGCGAGTGCGTCCCGCGCGCCAGCGATGTGAAGCGCTGACCGGGCAAAACACCGCCGCAGGGTGAAGGACATGGAGACGACCGACCTATATTGCAAGAGATCAGTTGTTCCACCAAACCGTTCCTCACCATCTTGGGGGGATCCAATCATCCGTCAAAAAGGACATATGTCAACTATTAGAGGACATGGGACTTCTCATGTCATTGAAAACGACTCTGGTACTTCTCACCTGGCAGCTGCAAGATAGGAACTCGCATGGATTGGATTGAACATAGTTTTGCACTCTTCGTCTAGTTCACCAAAAAATCTTTTGTGTGCAACCGCTCATTGGCACATAATGTGGCACTGGTGAGTTGGGACGTTTCCAAAATCTTAACCGTTTTAACCTTTTCCGAGTAATTGTCAGTTCGAGTCTTTCTTCGGAGTCATAAATCATGATACGTACATCATGATGTGGCTGAAGGCACCCATGTTCGAAGAATTTGGGGACGTTGCCCTCTATGAACAAGGGACATCGGGGTGGAGATCCACTCTACAGCGACCATGTTAGTGTGAAAAAGGGCCAGGTTTGGACCAAGCCATGGTAGTCTGAGGAAGAATAAGTCCAACCTCTCGTGTGACCCATCACCTTACAGTTCACAGGTTGATGTTGATGATATGTTTGTAATGCTCAGTTCTTCGACTGGAAAGTCCATTCGTTTATCGGACTATCTCGCAACTGCTGTGACCCGGATGAACCCGGCGCTGGTGAGTAGCCAGTAGCAGCAACTGCAAGCGATTCCACTCTGTGGCTGCGATTGACTGAACCACAGAACCATGAAGCGTAGACTCTTGATTCGTAACTACCCCATTGAGGGAGCTCTTTATACACGCAGGGTGTTATTAATCAATGAAGACTCTGCAGTCTACAGTAGTTTCATGGGGAGGGACCTGTTGGGCCGAGGAGGGCCGCTGCAAAAATGGAGGAAGTTGAGGAACCTGGGCTGTTGTCCGAACGGTACCTTGATAAAGATTATAAAGTTCTCTGAAGCAAAGTCCTTGCAATAGAAGAATGGAAGCTGTGAATCAGCTTGAAAATCATAGCCGAAGTGTACATGCGGGGCTGCATGAGCAATATGACAAGGTCGATGATCACATAATCAAACCATATCAAACCTTGGATAAAAGAAACATGAATCATACCTATCCAGGGAAGTTGCTTGGGGTCCTTTCCTGAATACCTGGCAGTTGGCCGGAGTGTTTTTTACAGGCTTCGACTTACACCACCTTCAGCATCCGAAGTACCTATGCTTAATCCGCCCAGAAACCTTGATATTTGCAACAAAAATAACATTATTCTAGTAGTAGTAGTAGTAGTAGTAGTAGTAGTAGGAGTAGGAGTAGGAGTAGTAGTAGTAGTAGTAGTAGTAGTAGTGGTTGTAGTCATTCCAAGAATTGGAATCGCTGCAAAACAGAACTCAATCCAACCCCGAGAAAGGATGGGTGACACGATTCTCTTCTTCCCTTTACTATTTCACCACACCACGCAACGCCTCCCCTTTTCCTCGTTTTGGCGGTCAAGCGTCAACGAGAGCCTGGGCACAGCACGTGCACGAGATTCATTGTGTAGAAAAAACATTGGTAGGTAGGCGTCGAGCACTGGTGTTTGCTACACATTCTGGAGTAGTAGTCGTGGAAGCGCATTGTTTCTTCTTCTGCTCGGAATTCACACCATGTATCAATGATGAGATCATTTGTACTAGTCCCTTCACCTACACCTACACCAACCCTCTGTCTTACAGTGTCTTACACATGTCGCTCTGGACTCTGGACTATCTCCCTCACCATATTGGCATGAGCAAAGCGAAGAAACATCGACCAGTTCCACCATGAACGACCGTCAGTTCGCCTCCGCCGCCACCCCCACGGGCGGAACGCCTGACGCAGATGAGGAGCGAAGGAAACTGAACATCAGGGAAAAAGAAAACCGTTGAGTGGATCAGACAGCCTGGTCTTGTTGGAAGTTTTGGTTGCGCGCCAAAACCTGTGTGGAGGTGGTCCTGCGCGAACCTAGCTGCGATGTGGTCGCTCCAAACATCTGCATCTCATCTCCCCGTGTTCGCCCGAGAGGGCGAAAGCAAAACGACTGAAGTGGAAAAAGACCTTGCCTGTCGGACGGGAGTCTTCAAACCCGCAAACTACAAATCCAGTTTTTTCTGCTAAGAATAGATGTTAAAGAAGATCAACACCTTCCTCTTTCTGGTTCGACATAGAATTTCAAACATAGATATGCTGGCAATGTGTATCGCAAACATTAGCTCTATCAGCATCGCAAACACAAACTTTACAAAGTCTGTGCTCCCAATCCATCACCAGGACCGCCTCCGCTGGCGATCTCTGTGACCTCCGCCTGCTCTGGTGCGTGCGAAGCTGGGGCCTGACGGCAACAGCTTCCGATCTGCAGATCTGCGATGCAATCTGGAAGTGATGGCCTCTAACCTAAGAGCGATGGCCTCCCTAGTAGCAAAGGGTGATTGATTGTGGAATGCACGATTGAAATACTGTAAAAGTGAAGATGTCCTGTCACATGGTGACTGGCGACTTGGGACAGTTCTGCGCCACGAATAGGTAAATAATACATATGCATATTGATTGATTTATACATGGTTATACTTTCCCAGCCTCTTTGGCCTCCTTGTTGGCCGCGGGTGGCGCCTCACCAGACAGAACCACTGTCAGCTTGGAGTTTCACATTTACTAACAGCCAAATGGTTCATGGTCAGCTGAAATTGTCGTTTAACTCTGTATTCGAAATGTCTCGCAAAAAACAAAAAAACAAAGGTTTGATAAAGATGGGAATAGCAAAAACAAAGTCGCTTCAGTTCCTCTTCCAAGTTGGCTTTGACTACCATGATCATCCAAAAAATGTCTGTCTGGACTACCCCACACAACTTCCAGGCTTCCATTGGGTGCCCATCCACGAATGAAATGAGGAAACCCATGAAATGTGAGAACAAAGACCTACTGCTTCCGGCTGAAAGGGTCCGGCCTTAGGTTTTGCAAAGACTTCCACTGGTCAATGCTGACAGCGAGGTTCCTACTTCATAGCCTTGTGATGCTAGGCCGGGCCTAGGCCATTCCAGGCAAAAAAGATGTCATGCATACGAAGCCCCAACCACACACGTTTCGAGAAACGCGTCTTGCAAGAGCGGCTTGCACGATTATTTTCCTTAGCATCAAGCAATGGCGCGGCCGGTTTTGGTGTCTGCGACATGTCCCACTGCCCGACCAGTCTCATCATGCTTGAGTGGTTGGTGGGTTTCAACTCACTTGCAAAATGATAGCATTTAGGTTCAATCAGAAGCCAAAATATCTGAAACCCTGTGGATCGTCAACCAATGAGTATGTCAGTCTCACTTTGTTTTTGGAGTAGATTTCTGAGGGATCCCGCCTTAGTCGTGGTGCATGTTCACAAATGGCATTAATGATTCATGAGGCACAAACGGTTGCCAACGCGTCTTAAACTGACCACTTTTGAATAGGTTTTAATGGTTTATGATTGCACCCTTCCCATCACACCAGTGTGTCCCACCTTGAGTGTCTTGATCCTTTGGCCGATCCGAACAGCTTTCAGCATGACTTGCACAAACTGGGTCCAACCTGTAGGACGACGCTCTCCAACACCGAAGACAAGCCCTGAGGAACTCGCTGTCCAGGAGGCAAAGGCGTGGTCAACCCTCAACTAGAGGGCTTCTGGAATGCTACCTGCATCATATTTGCCGAAGTTGTTCACTTTATATACTTTGGTTCAATCTCGTACATACTTCATCTCAGGTCATTCATCTCCTCATGTCGACCAAAAATGCCTTCGACAGGAGTCCAGAGGATCTCACGTGCACAGCCGATTGATTAAGGCGTCGATCTGTTGTCTCAACACATCAGCGGAAGGAGTCTTCAAATTGGAGTTGCTGAGAATACCAACATACTTCTACAAATCACGGTGAATAAACCTCTGCCAGTGGGAACTGACTGACTCATGTACATCCAAACCAACATGGACATCCAAACATATCGCAGGGCCCGGTGGACTGGTGCTTGTTTTCCTTGCGCTCCCATTGGACCGAAGAACGGCACATCTCAGCACCTCCAGCTGTCGCTTGGCGCTTTGTCCTTTCTCTAAGCTGCAAGGTGCTCAGACGAGACCAGGTGGTTGAGCCAAAGGAGGTCGGTCGACCAACCAACCTCGCCCCATGAGTTTTGAGTGAAAGCATTGTTTTCTTCCTCTAGACTCTAGAAGTGGACAAAGAGTCAAAAAAAGAACGCCCCAGCATGGTAACTTGATCGTGACCAACACTGTTGGCAACATTTGGTTGTTCCATGTTGCGCCAAAGAAAACATGGTGGCCTTGCACATCGGAGGAACACATCGAGTCTGTTCCAGCGCATCTTCAACATGCTCGTGCACAAACGCGCATCTCACCGTCTTCACTGCCCACCGTCCCCGTCTGGACCATCGAATTACTCCGACCGCAGCACCCGCGGGCTGTGCCTTCACTGGGTCTTTGGAGGTTCACGGGAGGAGGCTCGGGAAATCCTTGAAAGACCTACCACCCCCACGAAAAGGATCGCCAAACAACTCAACAAAAACCGACGTCCGATGAGACTGCCGTGGTCCAACTACATTGGGGTGGTTGAACAGGGGTCAATGTAGGCATTGTTGTCCATATGGATGGAGTATCTGGGTTGTGGTACGCATTTGGGTGCGTCCAGTGCCTGAACTTCATGCAAGGCTGCAAGCACTTACCTGGTGCTCAAAATGACAAACACGCAGTGATTGTATATATATATATATAGATGGTTTATCCGAGACCAGGGCAACATTCGCCCCGTAAGTCCACATCTGCCACTAAATATCTTGTGCCAGATATTGCCAGATAAATATTTGGCTGATCAGGTGGAAAACCAACTTGCCTGGAAGACCCAAGGGTCAAAAGAAGGAAAACATAGGCGACTCAAGTACCCGCTATCTTCTTTGCTGGGCAATGGGTGATGGGTCATCTTCACAAACTAAAGACTCTTCATCTTCACAAAACCTTGGGTCATCACTATATAGCGCTTGGGCCATTGAGTGTTGACCCACACCCCACACCCTGTTGCTACCTGAAGGGGGCACCGAGCCGGGCACCAGGGTGTCGCGACATGCTGGGCCTTTTGTGCTTCTTTGGCCCAAGGCTAAATATTTATTATACCAAATATGTCGCCAGAAAGCCAAGCAATGCAAATGGGGAAAAATAGGCCGGGTGATGATGACAGGTGAAGAACCTGTACATCCTGTTTAAAAAAAAGGAAAAACACATCGCTGACATGATGCTTCTAAAAGGGGCTGTTTCTGGAAGCATTTGCCTCAGGTACTTGTCCAGGCATGTCTAGTGATACCAAACATGCATTTCTTCGGGAGGGGAAGAACCTGCAATGTGTTGTCCAGTTTCTGCTGAGATGCTACCAGGTGATTTCACAAAGCTTCTACATGGTACACTGACCTAATCCAACTCCACTAAGGGAAACCCCAAAAAAGCGGGGAATGAGACCACTGAGCGGCTTTCCAGCGTCTTTTTTTTGCTTTCGCCTCTCAAGCGCCACAAATCGCCGACTCCTGGCAGCGCCACAAATCGCCGGAGCGGAACCCGCGATCGCGGAGCGAAGCACTGCGGCGGCACGAGGGAGCCAAGAAAACTAAGTGACTAAGTGTTATATACTCTGATCCCCAAATTTCATGAGACACGAACTCTGATCAGTTAATCTCACTTAATCTACTCTGATCAGAGTTCTGTTAACTAAGTGTTAATCTACTCTAATCTGATGAAATACAAGTTCTGATTCTTAGATTTCAGATTTCATCAGGTCAGGTTTCATCAGGTGTCCTCATCTTCTCTTTGTATCTGTTGCTTTCTGGTTGAAACCCTTACTCACCACTCTCTCTGTGGGAGCACAAGGAGGCCCACTCGCGAGGACCAAGCTGCGGACATCCAAACATGGACCTTCCGGCACCTTCTGGCAGTTGAATGCCTTTGCTAGTAATTACAATTCTAATTAAATTTGTCTTGTTACTAGTAGTAAGGCACTTGTTCCTAGTAGCTTCTTGTTACTACTAGTAAGGCACTTGTTACTACTAGCGATGCACTTGTTCCTAGTCTTCCCAGAACTGAACGAGAATGCTCGACATTGCTCGACCAGTATACCCCGCTGAAAACTAAGATGGACCCTGAAAACCACTGGGTGCAGGAGTCTTTCAGGGTGCCATTCTCGTGGTTTATGTGAGTTTTCGGGAGTGTGCCTCACTTTGGACTTCTTGGACCAGTTTACTGCCAGATTCCAGTCAACAAAGGACAACACCTCTATCTTCCCAAGCGGTTTTCGCTCACTCTCATGACTCCTCCGTTCGATTCGGGAAACCCCCTCCGGGGCCACAAACACCGGTTTCATCGCTCGCTCCGCGCTGACCGGTTTCGTTCCATCTCTCAGCATTTCTGACTCAAAAGAGGCGATGGTTTCGCTCCCAGTTCTGCATGAACCAAAAGGGTTTCGTTCCCTCCTTTCCTGTTGGTTTCTTTCCATCTCCCAACCATCCCAAACCCACCATCCGGCGCCACGGTCGTTGACCGTCCCAACCCAACGGCCAACGTCCACCGCCTCGGTGGAGTCGGAGTCCCAATCCTTGGAGTCGGAGTGACCGGTGCCGGGGTGTGGGCGGCTGGGCGCCGACGTGGGAGGCAGCTCCACCTTCGCATCTGAAAGGCCACTCCAATCCATTTGAGGGACAAGGAATGGGACACTCCCCATTTGGACTCCCCATTTGGGGCACACATAGCTGTGCAAAAGCCGGAACCCTGAACATTGGTGGACTTCAGTAGTAATCTATTCTGGCTCATTCTCTGTGGTCAGCCAAACCACCTGTGTGTTGAGGACAATGGTCATCTATATAAGGGGCCATGCCATCCACTTCCATGATTAGGTTAGGGCGTGTAACATTACAAACTATATAAATTATTACACTCTGACGAACACATCACATGGAAGTGGAAAGCTTATGAAAACCTCCTATCCGTGAAAGAAAGTCGTGAAAGAAAGTCGTCTTCCAAGGGACCATTTTCCACTTCCATAGAAACGTGAGTCAGAGTGTAGTGGTGCTGGACTAGCACTAGGGTTCTCTTCCGAAGGCTTTGCTCTGCTTGCTTTCTTCGACTGTCTAATCTTCGCCGAACGCTGCGTTCAGACTGGACTTTCGACCCGGCATTTGTGCACCCACTACATGGTGAGCACAAAGTTTGGTCAACAGCAATGGCAACGAAGTGAACTGGAAGCTACGCAGAGTGGAGGCCATCCCTATTAGCTTGGAAGCCCTTGCTACAAACGTCACAAGAAGCTAAACATGGTACAGGTCGAGTCCCTCAGCCCGAAGGAGACCGACCCGACCCTGGTACTGCCGGGGTCGCCTGGCACCTGACCCGCACCACCTCTACCGGACAGGCCCACCTCTTCGGCCTCGGAGGTGAAGCCGACCTTCTCCTCGGGCAAGGCCGCTGTCTTGGCTTTCTCCTGGCCGCGGTCAAGGCCGCGGTTTGAGAAACCAAACCACGGCATCCACCACGGCGCAGGTTTTGATCTTGCATCGGTTCTTGGCGGTTTTCGAATTCGTAGCTTTGCCTGGTCTTTGGTCTTTGGTTTCAATGTCAAGACGTTGAGGCGTTCGGTGGTAGCCTTTGTTTTGATCTTTCTTCCGGTTGTCATTAAACATTGTGCTTCATCAAGTGTGTGGTCCCATGAGGAGTTTCAAGCCCCACCAAATATCCAAAGGATCTGCAGAACCCGAGCTGTGCTTTCCCACCCCCTATGAAATACTGTGAGAAGAATGGGCCCCTACGGTTTTCAACTTTGCAACACCCAACGTGCAAACACTTCTTGCATGCTCCGTAACTGAACGTTGGTCCACAAGAAAAAGGGATAATAATAAATAAATAACAAAACTCCTTTGATCTTGCAGGCAAACGAAAACTTTTTTAGTTTGCAACACACATGATTTGGATAAACATGATGAATGCTAGAAGTGTTCCTTGTACATATATATATATCGTAGAACCACCACCAATCACTCTACATCCATTTGTAGCAGGAAAGGGCAGCAACATCGCTCCAATCAATGATAAAGCTTCACCCATGTTCTGATCGGTGCATGGTGAACCACTGTCGGTTCACATGTCCCTCTGCACGCGTCCCTCTGCACCTTCTCCAGGATTTGGAGGTAGCTGTAGGCGCTAAAGGCAAGGACGTTGCCAATGACGGCGAACCAAATGACCTGCCGTCTATCGCTCTAGGCATACTTCTCTGTACAAGCTGACGCCTCCTTGGGTGAAGGTGTGCTACTTTTCATACATGATTTATATAGCTGGTTTGAAACCACAAACCACGACGACAAGAGAAACAAAACAAACACAAATCCAACACAAAGAGAAACATGCAAGCTGAACATTCAACCCTGGCTCCAACATAAACATATGAACATCTGTTGAAACCCAGTACTTCAACCCAGTTGAAACCAAACGAAGTCGTTTTGGTGAACCACACCGAAAGGAACCCCCTCCGACCAGACCAGCCGGTGTCTGCCTCGATATAAGGGCTGCCGGGAAGTGCATGGACCTGCGCACCGAGCGACGCAGCTGTGGAGCCGCTATGGCTCAACTGGTGTAGAAAATGGTTATAAGCATTATAAAGCAGTAACCATATAAAGATATTATAATAACATATCCTTATTAGCAGGTTGCAATATCCTTATATTACAATATAACCTTATAATCTTATAAAGCAGGGATGCTGGGGGCTCCCCGGAACCGGGTCGTGGTCACCGAGCATGGGGCCGGCGCGAGCATGGCGCGCGCGCGATCGCGCGCGAGCGGGTGACGTGATGGGGCCTGCAGGAAAGGCAAGGTCAAGGTCAACAAGACCAGCGCAGCCTGGCCCATGACCCACGACCCAGACCAGGCCCACGACCACGTGGCCAACGGCGGGCCGTGATGCTCACGAGTCGAGCTCGGGACCTGCAGTTGGTGTTAGATGCTCCGCCCCCCAACCGAGCAAACACAATGGCTTTCACCCATTGCCATGCTGAATGAGAAGATGTGCTTCACCATCCATCGAAGCTTGTCTTCATCATGCGTGGACCACAAATCATCTGTCAACGCTTCGTGACCATCTGTCACCAGTGATGCGGCTCCACTCCCAATTATAATGAACCAAGTCTGGGAGGGTAACATCCCGCTCACCCTCATGACCCCCTCCAAAAGACACCTGCTTTTAGCACCATCTGCGAGCATCACAATTGAATCTACACTTGTATGTATACAATACAATTTGATTCTCCCACTTGCCAGCTTTCCCAAACACTTGGAAACGGTGCCAATTAGATTAGATTAGATTCATTGGATCCACAGGACCATCCCTTACCTGTCGGACGGAACTCCTGTTAGACTCTTCCTCTCCAAAACATCTTTATTTGCAGATCTGATCATCCTTCCGGCTTACAAGTTCCCGCGGAACCAGTTCCCTCGCCTTGTTGAAGTTCCCTCCGAAGGCGGTTGCCGACCTCGGACAGCCAGCGCAGAGAAAGGGAGAGAGAAAGGTCGCCGGTTGACTCCGGCGCTTTCACACAAATCGAGGTGAAGGTCCCGAACTGTCCACCAGCTGGTGGGTGTGTTTTTGCGGAAATCAATACCCCCAACAAGGTGAAAGGATGTTAAAGTCCATCAACTGAGCAGGTCGGTGCTGGACTTGTGGACCCGTTGCAGATACGTGTCTGACTGAGAGCACCGGTGGAGAGTCCTGAAGTCAACCGGTGTTGAGACGGCATTGGCAGGGGCATTGGCAGGGCCGGTGAATGTGTCACTTGTATACTCTGATTCCAAGTGAAGCGGTCGAGCGAAAGCGCCTTTTCGCTTGTTCGCTCGCTCGCTGGGCAGGTCTTCAGCGGCGACCAACCGAACGTCGTTTTGAGAAGTCACTTTTTTCGATCTGCATCCCCCGGTCAATGGAAGCCAGTGGGGTAGAATTGTAACATCGTCACAATTCCGTAGCACATCAATTTGAGAATGACCTAGAGCTCTCCACAGACTTGAAGCCACCTGGGTCCACTTACATCGATGCATTTATAGGATTCCTGCATGGCATGCTATACTTTCCTAAGACTGCTATGGCATGCTATGGCCAAAGCATTTCGGATTGTCCTACTGGAGAATTATGATTTTCCCCTTGCTACATCAGGTTAGTTGGTACATCTTCTCTATGGCCATATACCCATTTTCTGCTTTGAGATGACTTCGTATGTCAAAGGGCATCCTCATTTTGATCTCTTGATTCCTTTTGGGAAAAGCTACGAAGAGCCCGCTTGATGGAAAAAAGGACAGCCCAGGAGGTGGAGGGACGTGGAGGTGATATCCAAATCTTGCAGCTTTCCAACGTGTTTCTTCCAGGTCTCTGCTGGTGACAACCCATTCAGCAACTGTAAGACCTCGACTGTGCCGGTTTCTGGACACCTCGACTGTGCCGGTAAACCGTGTGCTTTAGATCCCGGACGGGGAGAGGGTATGCACGATGCTGAACTGCACGATGTTGTACCTGAACGATCCGCACCGATGTTGAGATCCAAAGGAAGCGATCAGACTGCTGACTGCCATGAACATGCGGCTTGAAGCGCTTTTTTGATGCTGGGGGTATGCAGGTAGAGAGGAAGGAATGCAGGGAATATTCGAGATGAAAGCTGTCAAACTCTCAGTTGCGCATATGGCTGTGGGTCAAAACCCGGAAGCCCTGGTTGACCAAAGAAAATGAACAGAATAGACTACCAAGGAGGTCAATCTACCAAGGATTAGGGGTCCGACCCGCCATATAATCTCTATGACCACGACTGACGGGCTTAAACATCGGCACAGTTGGTCACAAGATCTCGATCGCATGGGTTTTTGGTCACGGCGCCCAGAACTGGTTTAGTGCTGTGTGTGTGTTGGTGAATTGAACTTTCTTTCACAGAGTGCAGCTCTGCGGGTGGGAAGTTTTGTTGACCCAAATTTGACCCAAACCGTCAGAATCACCCATTAATGTCCTCACAATTACTTGCATCGTTTCCCCCCGTAGACGACGCAACATGTTGCAAATTCACGCAACCACTGTCCACTCCGAGCACTGAGCATCCCTGCATGAAGGAAAACCTCAGCATGTTTTCGGCATCATGGGAGGAGACCACAGGCGTCTACCACAGGGAGTTGCAAATGCAAGCCCGGCCCCCCACACATCGTCTTTCGCGGCAAATGGTCCGCAAGAGATCCGCTTTTTCTAGAACAAGAGCCACATGTTTAATGAATCACCCGAATCACCCGCATTCCGAAGTCGTTGGGTTCATTTTGGTTCACTACTCTCCGTAGACACTTCTTGGATGTGTTCCGGACAGTGGCACGGAACATGTTGTTTTAGCTTTAGCTCGGCCAGCCTTTCCTCTTGCTGACTAACGGATTGAGTGCTGACTATTGGGTCCAACAGGTTGCTTTCGATTCCATTCGATAGCTGCCTCCCCTTTCAGCAGACTGCTGCCAGTCGGCGTCGAACGTGCTGAACCATCGCTGGTCTTCTGTTTCGACCACCTCACGGAATCAGGAATCATGATCCCGACTTAAGTACTCTTGATTCTTGATGTAGACTGATTCATAAAGCCCTCCATGTGGATCGATTTCTGCGGCTTCATACTTCATTAGGGTTTATGTACCAACCGTCTACATGAAGTAGCCTTATGTACCAACCGTCGCGACTTGCGAAAGAAGCCTCATCCACTTACCATCCTGGCAGCTCCTTCTCCCTCCCTTCGCTCCCTGCAGCGTTCGTCCCACTCCATCGCTCGGTTGAGCCCCAAAAACACACCGCTGAGCGCGAAGAGGGCGAAGGTCCCCGGAGCAATGTGCATCACCTGACGCGGAACCGACAGGGACGGTGATGGTTTCGTGAGAGAGAGAGAGAGATCAGAGATGATTTCGCTTCCGAGTTCTGGGAAATGCCATCGCCACCGAAGCAGTCCATACGCCGTGGTCTTTTGCGAACGCAGAACTTCTGAATTGGATTGAATTGGCAAAGTTGGTATAAGTTGATATAAGTTGGTAGGGTAAGACTGAAGCAGAATTGTCAATACCTCAACAATCCTCAACATAGATTCCCGGAGATGACCATCACCATCACCAAAAAGAATATTTGGCTCATGTTCTTCTACCATCTTCCCTCCGTTTCTCTGAAAAATGTTTAGATCTGAAAAACACTCTCAAGACCCGTGACCTTTTCTATCATTAGATGTTTCATCTTTCTAATTGACTTCTATCAACTCAGGCTTTACACTCCAACTTCTTCTGTATCATTGGCTTCCAGTCCCATGCGCAGTGCCCCTGTGCCCATGCGGAGTTCGGATCCAGTCGGACTCGCTCGCTCCGCCGGCCACGGGCGGGACGCCTGTTGCAAGATCTGCCAGTCCGTGGCGTCAGGCGTGTCGAAGACCTGGATTTCGGACGAGTTGCGGGACGAAGATCGGGACAGGATTGGCTGGTCAGGGCAACTGCGGACGAAGATCGAAGCAAGACCCGGGACGAAGCACATACCACAATGTACTCAGCTTCAACCTTTTGAAATGCCAGCATTCATCGCCCAATGAACATCGCCAGCACTCGCACCTTTGGCCACTGCCCCGGAAGCGGCTTGTTGAGAAACCTCGCTTGTTGGCGGACACGGCTTGAGAGACCTCGTGTGTTGGAAAGGCAGTGAGTGTTAAAACATGTTAAAACCTATACCATGAACCCCACTGCCAGGTCTCCGAAATGGAGGCTTGTTGGGCCCGAAGAGGTCCCAAGACCGACCTGGCAGTGAGGCTGCGATGTTATGCCAAACACGACCGGTGGAACTTGCATCTGCCCAGTTGGTATTTGTTGAGTGACCTAAAGACATGATGATTGCGAATTCTGCATGTTCCACGAATGCTTCGGTGGCGGCTGCACTGCAGATCAAGGGCACCGTCATCGTTATCAACTGTTCTACTGCCTTATGTGGAGTGCTTGGGTATTGCTGTGGCTGACGTTCCGTGTCTTAAGAACATGAATCATGTTGTTCTTGAAGCACACTGGAGAGCAATTCCTATTGGACACCTTTGATAAACTGTCATGTGAAATGAACGTATATAAGCAGCCAAACCAATGATTAATGCAGTATTTAGACGAGGAACGAAGAACACCATCCTCTTTGACCCAAGCTTGCAATGCAACGTTAAGACTAGAGAACAAGGCAAACTTGTGCGGATTTGACCAGGCAATTCTTAGATCATCTTCGAAGGCCATCCGTGATCCACAGCCATGACGGCACCATCTTTGTTGTTGGAAGGGCAAGCAACATGGCGAAGGGCAAGAGGAACACCGTCGCTGGCACCGACATGTAGGCCACCGTGTCGTAGACCTGAAAAGCAGCCGTGCCATTCTGAACGTGCCATTCGGGTGCAATGGACAGACTGTGAAAGCCACAGTTTAGGACTACCCATAAGATTCCCATAGGTTCTCTGCATGAACATGATCATCTCCTTCTTCTGTGGATGTTGCACTGCACAATGGGACGGGCTTGATGCTTTTTCAATGTGTCCCGACTTGCAAAGGGAAACATTGAAAAAAATCACTGATTTCAATCTTAAAACTGAACCTTGCTGCATAATTCAAAAAAATCTTGCTCCGGTTGCCCGAAATGCAGTCACCACACACAATGAGACAACGATAGATTGGCCATAGACCATAGACTGGCAAAAATGCTTCCTCAAAGTGGGACTCATCTTCTCATGTCCTTTCTCCAAGCGGCGCTCATCTTCATCTCACCCAAAACACCAGCCAGCGCCAAGTTGAGGGATCCACACAGCAGGGACAAAATGCAAATCACCACCTCAGAGCGCAGCTGGCGCGTTCTCACCCAATCGCCAGCGCCCTGGAGGTGCGTACCGTTCCTCGTTCGGGTGGCGTTCGCCACAAGAGTCCGTTGCACGTTGGCCAGGGCACGTTCCTCCAAAGTGTCGAGACCTTGAGTAGATAACATTGAATAACAAGCTCTGTTGTGTTTGTGTGTTCAACTGTTCTTCATGCACCACCCTGTCTATCACATTTGAGGCACAACTGTAGAACCTCCTGAAAGCAATGTTCATGCTTCATGCAAACGACTTCAGATGCTTTATCTCGATATTCTTGATCAAAGCAGAAAACAAATTGTTTGAATCAGCCGTGTGGGAAACAAGCTTCCACATGCCATGCAATAGGAATGCGCCAAAATGGCCTTCCTCCACTGCCAGCTCGTTTGTGCCTTCGATCAACCACCTTGGAACCTCGGGACGGAGACGAAGTCCCTAACCTGTTCGGGCAAGAAACGCAGGTGAGTCTAGCCAAGCATATGAGGTCTTTTCATGAGCTGTTCCCTTCAAAACATAGGGATTCCCACGTTTTCTGGTGAAAAAACCAACACAAAGTTGGGCTTGGTTCCCCCATGTTGCCCCCATGTCTGTCGTCCACCGTCACCCATGGTCGTCACTGGCCGCCGGCCGCCGCTCCCGCTCGGCCGTGGCACGCCCAAGACCATGTTCGAGGACGAATGGCCATGCTCTGCGGAACCTGACAACGACCAGGTGAGGTTCCGAACCGGAACAGCTGACACAGGAACTGTGCAACAATATATGATATACTTGTATTATCTACCAGTATCATTATCTGAATAAGAGAACCATTATAATTATATTATAGTCATATATCTTATCATATACTATCTATCTATACAGTACTAGGAAAATCATTCTACTTCGCAAGTGGATCTTTATATATAAGGCTCAGGATATGATATACCTTCGCCCCGAAGAAATTGGAGGTCTTTGGACCAAATCGGAAAGAGATGGGTTGGTCACCAAGGGAACAAGCGGCCTGTCCAAGCACCAAGGGGTAGTCACCCAAGTCCCTGGATGTCTGGATGTTGAGCTTTTTGAGGCGAAGGCACCCTGCTAGTCAACCAAGTGAAGTCAGGAGAGTCGAGAAATTCAAATTCCAGATAACTGCTCTCAAGCAGTCCCTTGCCACAAGGGCGGCCTTGCCATCAACATCTTTCCCACCGATCTCAAGCAATTCATCCAAATCATCCTTCCCAGAATTGGTTTTAAGGAAGAATCTACAGGAAACCCATGGTTTGGGAGGTGAAAAAAATCATGGGTTTCCTGTAGATTTTCCCTTAAACCAATTCTAGGAATCCTGCTCTGCCCATCTCCGCCGCTCCGCTTCGTCTTGGGCTTTTCTGAGCATCGGGGCCCATGATCTTGGCCACGGTGAAGAGCGCCGCGAAGAAGACGCCCAAGGTCATCAAGCCAATCCTCAGCAACGGGTTTTGCGCGAAGTGGACAGGAACAAAGGTTGCTACTTCTTACTACTACTACTACTACTACTACTACTACTACTACTACTACTACTACTACTACT